CACAGGTGGCATCCTATGACAGTTCCACGCTGGAATTCACTGAGCTCCTGAGAGCGGCCCATTCTTTCACAAATGTTTGTAAAAACAGTCTGCATGCCTAAGTGCTTGATTTTATACACCTGTGGCCAGGCCAAGTGATTAGGACACCTGATTCTGATCATTTGGATGGGTGACCGAATGCTTTTGGTAATATAGTGTATGTAGTGGGAGTTTTTTTTTCTCTGCAGATGTTCTTCAACATTTTACCAGTGTTACTATCATTGTAAATAGGATTCAAATGCAATTTACTTGAATGATATTTGTCATTATGCCAATTTATTATTTGAATAAGGAAACAAGGTGTTTGTGATCCACACAGTCTGTATTTTTGTTACTGTTTTGTTGTATTTTTTTATGTTTTGTAATCCACAAGCTAAACGGTGGGGGGGGAATTTGAAATGGACAGAAATGATGCACTGCACTAGTCAGCAATATAACTAATATGCTTGATAGATCTCCCTGTGCATGTTGGGTGTGAGACTCATTTTGTAAACGATTAATTATATATTTAACAGCAGTCTGTAGTACTATTTATTGCAAAATGAAAAATGATTTGTTGTCTTTTTTTTTTGTGTAGGTTTCCAAAACAGACCCTTCACCAAAAAGAGAAATGCCGACCATGATCTTGTTTAGTGTTGTGTTTGCGTTAAGGGTAAGAAAATACTGACGACTCATGACAAGCTATTTTTTTATTTTTTCATGTACTAGAAGATGAAGTTAATCAGCTGTTTCTAATTAAGCTGAAGGCAGGAGTTTGCTTTCCCAGTAAGGGAGTGGGCTCTGATAAGCCCCCGGCAACCTGTCTATCAGAACTACACTCTTGGCTTGGTCACACTGCCCTGCCCTCACACAGCTCCACGGTGCCACTTTGACTCAGCACAACACAGCACAACACGTTGACTCAGCACAACACAGCACAACACGTTGACTCAGCACAACACAGTGCTTAGTCAACTCTCATAACTGCTCGTATCTGACACCTGCATAACCACCTCCCCTCCCTCAAACCTCACCCGAGAGCCAACCGTGACTCAGCAAAAACACCCCACGCCTGCTTACTTAAATTGCATTTTAGGTTTTATGTTTAAAAAATGGTACATTTTATGTTTTACATGTTTTGGATGATTGTGTAACTTAATCTTCTGTGTCAGTACAGGTCGATATGTAACTGAATAGTATATTTGCACATACACGATTAGCTGGAAAAAAAAAAAAAATTTAGGGTGCTAGAAGAAACCTTTATTTTGTTGTTGGTTTTTTTTAGATAATTTTTTTTAAATATATATTTTGAATTTTATTTATATTTTTACCTTTTTTTTATTTTTTTTTTTAAGAATTGCTAACAAATAGTCTCTCTGTCACAAAATATTCCAAGCAGAACCATTTTAGAAAGTTAAAACAGATAAACAAAGATTCCTTGAGAAATCCCTTTTCCTCTCCTGTTCAGGGAAATATTTCACATCTCAGATATTGTGGTGCATTGACACATACTAATAAACATCTTAATATATATATAGGAATTGAAGTAGTAGTTATTCTTGTGTAGTAATAATAGCATTTAATACAGTGCTTTTACTTTATGCAATAGATCCAGGTAACAGTTTTCACACATTAGATTAGAATATGAAAATATGTATGATAATATTGCATACATGTTAATTGTCTTCTATCAGGCTGCTTCACTCTGCTGATGTTTTATAAGGCAGCTGGGTATTT